TTTCCCAAATTCTTAATGTTTTAAGTACCTCAGGGATCAGACATTGGTGTCTTCGCTAATCATACTCACTACTTAGGTCGTTTCCATCTGTCAAGAAATTCTACTGATTCTACTTTCAAAACACATCATGAGTCTGACCCCTGAATACTAGTGCAGTGCTGCTACCCCAGTCTGAGCCGTCATCATCTCTCACCTGGACTACTACAACGGCCTCTGACCTGGTTTCCGTTTCCACCCTTGCTCATTACAATCTATTCTCAACACAGCAGCCAGAGGGATGCTTTTTAAATCTTAAGCTAGATGCAATCACTTCTCTGCTCAAACCCCTCTAGTGGTTCCCAATTTTATTCAAGGTAAGAACTGAAGTCCTTACAGTGGCCGACAAATTGGCCCCACTCCTGCCTCCCATTCACCTTTCTGGCCTCATCTATTATTCTTGCTCTTTGCTCTCTCTTTCTTTCCCCTCTCCAGCCACACTGGCCTCCCTGCTATTCCTCCAACACACCAAACACACTGCTCAGGACCTTTGCATTTGCTCTTCTCTCTCCCTGGAGCACCTTTCCCCCCACATAGCTATATGAATGCGCTTTTCAGTCTTTGCTCAAATGACATTGAGGCATTCCCTGACCATTCTATTTTATTTTGCAATCAACTTCTCCACTCCTCATGCCTCTTTGCTTGCTTTATTATTGCCACAGCACTTATCGTGATCTAATATACTACATAATTTACTTATTTTGTTTATTGTCTCTTTCCCCACACTAGTAGGTAAAGTTCTTGAGAACAGGGATTTTTGTCTGTTTTCTTTGTTGTGATGTTCTTCACACAGAACAGTGTGTGTCATATATTGGTTTTCATTAAAGATTTCCTGAAAAACTGAATGACTGACTGAATGAGTGAATGCAAGAAAGAAAAGGAAAGAGGGAAAGGAAGGAAAAGAACAAAAAGAAAGAAGAAAGGAAAGAAAGGAAGAAAGTTGCTCAAAGCAATGCAACAATCAATATGGTATAGCCAGCATCATAAACCAGATCTGCTTGGCTTGAAAGCCCATACCATTCTATTAGAACGCCAGTTAAGAAGAAGCTTCCAGTTGAAAGAAATAGCCTAAGAATTTAAATATGCTCAATAAGCAGTAGCATATAAAAGGAAAAAAAAAAGTAAAAGAGGCAAGCCAACTTTCTTTCCTTAAATACAATTATAAAATAATTGAATTGAAGCTATTTATTTAAAATCAACTATAAACAATATATTTTTAAAACTACAGAAGTATATATAATTCCTTGTTTTTAAAATAACTAAAATTAAAAATAATTTTGAGAGAATTAGTGACTTCTGCTTTCAACCAAGATAGAGTAACAGGAATAAATCGAATTTACCCTCCTGCCGGAAATAATCCTTTCCTTCCAACAAACAAACAAACGATAAAAATTTATAAGATATTGGTTTATAAGACATCATAAACCGAATATCAGGCAAAGGACAGTGATCACTGAAAGACAGGAAATAAATGAGGTGAAGCCTGTGAATGCCCTCAACTAATGCCTTGAGAAAGTGTGCAGGCCACAATATAAGGGCGGGGAAACCCAGGCAGAGCCCAGCAAAGTCCTTGAGTTGAGGAGACAAGAGCTCAGAGGCAAACAGAGGTCACAAAGCAAGAGTACCAGAGAACAGAGAGCTACGCAAAGAGAAAACTCTGAAGATCTGCAGAAGGTCCCCCTTGAGCATTCAGGAGAATACTGATTGCTACATGTGTGTGAAAAAACTACCCGATGGGCCGGCCGAGTGGCGCGTTGGTTAAGAGCTGGCTTGGGATGCCAGAGGGCCCCGGTTCGGATCCCACATATGAGGGCCAGTGACACTGCCCTCCACAGCTAAGATGCTGAACAACAGCTCAACCTGGAGCTGGGCTGCCGTGAGTTGCCGGCAACGGCGTAGGCTGCAGCCCCTGCTGCAGTGGGTTGCCATGGGCTACCATGTGTAGCCAGCAGCCACAGTGAGCGGCCGTCCAGAAGCCAGTGACTGATCTGCCTCGCCCAGGAAGAGCGCAACGATGGTGCCAACTTGGGCCAGTGAAGCAACGTCCTCCACAACTAGACTGAAGAACAAAACGACAGCAACTTGTCTGTTCCCCTTCCCCCAATTCCCCAGCACTGTTCCCATCCTCCCCCATTCCCCAATAAAAATCTTAAAAAAAAACAAAACCAAAAAACTACCCGAGGCCAAAGAAAGAACTATGTAAGAAAATGGGAGGGAATAGTGCCTGATACCAGAAATAGTGTCTGTTCCTACTGGCCAGGCCAAAAATAAAACCAAAAAAAAACCAAACAAACTCAGAATTCATGGGTAGAGTACTCTGAAGTGGGAAATAATTAGACCTAGACTGAGTACTGCTTAAATAATTTAAGGAAGACCCAAATGGGTCAAACTGTTTCCAAGTAACTTAACTATATCCCAGAACAAAGCTCAAGTTATAGGAATACAAAAACATGTAGCAACCAATTAGGTAAAATTGACAATGTCTGACATCTAATCAAAGACTACTAGGCATATAAAGCAGGAAAATATGACCAAAACTGAGGAGAAACATCAACCATTTAAAACTGACCCAGAACTGATAGAGATGCCAAATTAGGAGACATGGACATTAAAAGTTATTAAAACTATATTCCACATATTCAAATAGCTAACTAAAGACATGGAAGATGATTTTTTTAAAAAGGCCCTAATCAAGTTTATAGAGCTAAAAATGACAATGTCTGAGAAAATTACATTGGATGGAATTAATGGATGACTACACATTGAAGAAGAACAGATTAGTGAATCTGAAGACACAGAAACAGCAACTATCCAAAGTGAAATACAGAGCAAAATAAGAATTCTTTTAAATGGAAAAGAACACCAGTGAGCTGTGGGATAATTTCAAACAGCCTAACATATGTATAATTAGAGTCTCTGAAGAACAGAGTGGTAGGCCAGAAAAATTATTTAAGAAAATAAAGGCTGAAAATTGTCTGAATTTGACGGCAACTTTACATTCACAAATCCAAGAAGCTCAATGAACACTAAACATAAGAATCACGATGAAAACCACACAAAGGCACACCATAATCAAATTGTTGAGACCAGTGATAAAGAGAAAATCTTAAAAGTAACCAGAGAAAAAAGGCACATTACATACAGAGGAGTAAAGAAAATTATGACAGCAGATTTCTTGTCAGAAATAATGCAACTGAGAAGACAGTGGGGCAACATCTTTAAAGTACTGAAGGAAAAAAAGTCAACCTACAATTATATACACAGTGCAAATATCTTTCAAAACAGACAAAATAAAGATTATTTTAGATATATGAAAGCTGAAAGACTGCATCACTAACAGACCTGTACTACAAGAAATGGTAAAGAAAATCCTTCGGGCAGAAGAAAAATGATACCAGATGAAAATATGTATCTATACAAAGAAACGAAGATGAAAACATGCATCTATCTGCGAGGATGTGGCAATGGTCACCTCATTGGTAAATATATAAATTTTTTTTAAAAGACTGAAATCTCATCAATTTGTCTAAAATTGATGTTTTAGACAAAAATAATGACACTACATTTCACATGTATAAGATAGGTATAAGAAAAATGCATGGCAAGAAGATAAAGGTCAGAAAGGCAAATGGAAATATTATTGTAAGGTTCTTACGCCATATGTGAAGTGCTGAATATTACTTTTTTAAAAAATTAATTAATTTTTTGCTGAATATTACTTGAAGGTAAACTATAAGTTAAAGACTTGTACATGAATGTTCATAGCAATTCACGTGTAATAGCCAAAAACTGAAACCAACCCAAATGTCCCTCAATACATGAATGGATAAGCAAATTGGGGTATACTCGTATTCATACAATAGGACCTACTTACAATAGAAAGAAATGATATGTTGATACACAACAAAATGAATGAATCTTAAAATAATTATACTGAAAGAAAGAAAACAAAGAGTACACACTATATGATTACATTTATATATAAAACTCCGGAAGACACAAACTAATTTATAGTGCCAGAAGACAGATCAATGATTGCCTGGTGCTGAGGTGGAGAAAGAGATTACAAAGTGCACAAAGAAACTTTTGGGAGTGATGGCTATCTTGATTGTGGTGGTGGTTTCTTTCACACACAAATGCACATGCGCGCGCACACACACACACGCACACATATGTGTGTGTGTGTGAAAACTTATTAAAAACTTTTTAAATTGTACCCATTAAATATGTGCAACTTATTGTATATGAATTATTCCTCAATAAAGCTGTTTAGAAAACAAGTTTGAACTTAAACTTAGGTTAAAAGCCAAAAATATTTAGATTACCTACAGTGCTCTTTGGCTCCAGAGTAAAAACAAAATAGATGACAGCAAGAACTAATAAAATATTTATAATTTTTTAAGGGTTAGAATGGATCATAGAAAGGATTTAGTCAAATACTCTCTTACTAGAGATAAAGGAACTGAGTCCCAGAGAAATACAGTGACTTGCCCGAGGTCTTAGAGCTGGGGCTAACAGCTTACTAAACTGTTCAAGGTCCACGACGGCAGGGGTTGTGTTACTTAGGTCACCACTATGGTCCTTATACCTAGTATAATGCCCGGGACATAGCAGGAGTTTAATTAATATTTGTTGCTGATCTTTCCCCTAAAAAGAAAGGTGAAAAGGAAGATAAAAGGAAAGAAAATCTCCCTTGCAATATGATTGAAAGTTTCTCCCTAGATTTGATTCTGCAATCTCTTTAACACAGATGAGAGTACTAAGCAGTAGCTTTAATATCACAAATACAAGAGAATATATTATATTCCATATTTTTAGTTTACTGGATATTTTATTATATTTTAATGCTTAAAAATTTCTAATTCATGTTATCAACTCTTAAACAGGCAGAAGAATTAATAGAAAATACTCCAAGAAGATGAGTGACATTTTCAAATTAAAAAAAAATAAGGAAATGTGCTTACCAAAAATTTCTCCATTTTTGGCATATTCTGTCACAAGGTACAACATATTTTTGGTCTCCATTACCTATTGATAAATAATTGCATATTAGTCTGACAGGAAAGGATTGCAATTTACTACCACATTCTGTGGAGTTACCTATTTTAAAAGCACAAAGTGTCAAAATTATAAACAATTCAGAAGAGGGCAAAGTTTACAAGACTGACAATCTTCTCATGCTAACACTTTTGTGAAAAATCTAGACCCTTGCTCTTCCATGGACCAGCAGCAGCAGTACTGCCCAGGTGTCTGTTAGAAATGCAGGATCACAGGCCCTAACCCAGACCTGCTGACACAGAATCTACATTTTAACAAAATCCCCCGGTGATTATTATGCACATTTAAGTTTCAGAAATACTAATAAAGGTAACAAGAGTTTTGAAGATCAACTTTTTACCACCCCCTCACTGACTTTTCTAGCCCTGTGGTAGGCTCTGATTAAGAAAAAAATGATAAAATAGAGCTTAGTTTATCCGGCCTGTAGACTAGCTAATTTGGCACAATGTGATACCCCTCCTACTGCACTTTAATATTGTTACAAAGTACTGTTATTTCAAAACACTGTTCAAAAGCTTCTTTATAACTCCATTGCTATACATTTTTATTTAATTAGTTTTTCTAGGTTTAGAAAGGAAACGTGTCATTATCATAAACTTTATTTTTCAAACTATACTGAGCCAAAAGGAAATGAATTTATAAATTCAAAATGAGTGAATTTTAGATTGCTTCTAACACTCTATCCTCTTACATAACTGGCACATACTAATAATACAAAATTTAACTGCTATTTACTAAAAAAGCTAAAATTAATTTTGCCCTACCATGTAGGTTTAGGATTATTCCCTGTCAGGCCAGAAAACTAAGAGCTACCTACCATATCGGTCTAAACAGGTCAAATAGTAAATCAATTTAACTGATTATTAGTTCAAATACACAGAATTATCATATGAATCCTGGTAGTTTTAACCTCAGTTTGGCTTATGGTTCATTAGAGACTTCTAAGAATGTTATTATTTTCTTATAAGTATCCTCTTTAGGAATTAAAAAAAAAAAGCTTAATGGGAGAAATACTCTGATACAAATTTGACCTAAGAGGTCCGCCATAGTTGTAGAACTTTAGGGATTGTTTTGAGTGGCACACCACAGCCTCTCAATCTTAGCTAATGGTAATGCTGATGGTCTTCAAACCTTTTTAATTGCAAATTTCTACCAATGAAGTTTTTTTTAGTCAAATATATATGTACTTATGAATATATACATAAAGAGACATAAATTACATACTTGTGCCACTGTATAAATACATTATGAATGTTATAAAATGCACACAGAATCCAAGTTGGGGGAAAAAAAAGCCATGGACCGACCAGACCAGGACACAAAATAAGTTTGTTCTAAGATAAAAAAAAAATGCACACAGAAGATAAATCTAAAAAATAATTAGAAATTCTAATATTTTCTTATACCCCAACAGACACTTATGCTAATCCATTTCAGCACATACTGTGGTATGCTAGTACCAGCTCTGAGGGAAAAAAAAGGCTCTGACTTATAAACTAATGTCTGTGGTATAAATATTCCTGCCATCGCTGATTTTGAGCTACTAACATGATGTTAATCAGCCTGCTAAACTTCCAAAAATTTAACAGTCAGCCCTCACCAGCCAGTACAGGCTGAATTCAGCATACCACTAGGTGCATACATCATACTTTGGAGACCAAAGTCATAGGCTATCATACTGTAACATTTTAGCTTAAAACTAGTTTTCTAATATAAAAATTCTATATATTAATAGAAATATTAAGTGTTTTGTATTACATTACCATTCTTAAACATGAATTACTCTTTAAAAATCTGAGAAAATCTTCCTTGTAAAAAAACATGGCTTACACTTCAAATGGTTGAAGTTTATTTTAACAAAATTATATCTTAATAAAGTTGATTTTTTTTGTTTTTTAAAAAAGGCTCGTTTACTTTATCTAACAAAGCAACCCCCCAAAAATACATGATTTGGCTCTAGGTATTACAAAGTATGCTACTAAGTAATATACTATTTTGGCCTTTGTATTTCGTAAAACATAAACAGCATGTTTTATAAATAAGCAAAACTGCCATATCCTCATTAATCCCCATCAAAACCCAGCAGGTGAAGCATGGTATCATAAATGTACACTTATAAACTTTTTAAATGAGTAACTTACAGTCTGAGAGACAACTGAAAATTAAACTACTGGTTTTTAATTTCCTAACTTTTTATTTAAATATAGAAAAATGGAAGTACTCAGCATAATAAAACCATGTCATTGTCCTTTTTGTAGACTGAAAAAACTAATATAAAAGAGAAAAATGATGATGTAAAATAGAGAACTGAATGTGAGAAGCGTGGAAAAGCTGTAAGGCTAAGTCATACCTGATACAGTTTGATTATATGAGGGTGGTCTAACATTTTCATTATTTGTACTTCTCGGTAGATTTTCTCAAGGTTCACTGCATCCAGCTGAGATTTATCTATAATTTTTATCGCCACCTGCATCCCAGACACAAATAAATACAATTAGTATAAAATGGTTAACATTCTCCAGGTAAGAATCTTTTTAATAAATGACATCTCAGATTTCACCTGCAGGTTCCTATGACAATGACGATAACTAGTTTAAATTCAATGCTCATTCACTCATTCATTCATTCAGCATATATTTCTTAAACATCTACCATATGAAAGATACTACAGTAGATTTTGTTTGGGAGTAGTCTTTACTGTGCTATAAAGAATAACCCTGTGAAGTTACTTTGATAAAACATATTTTTCTTTCAGTACAACTGTAATGCCTTTCTACTCCATTTATAAATTGAAGAAATGAAATCTCAGCAGTTTCAACTACTTATCACTCCCCCACAAAGTACCTATAAACAAATGATCAGCCAAGCAGAAGTTTGTATTGTACGGAAATAAAATTTTTCTACAACAGAAAAGCAAGTGATAGGTTCCAAAGAATACAGACAAACCTTTCTGGAAAAAAGCTAATAAAGTATCAAAGCCCATCTATATGAAAAGGTACCAATTGGACTAAATTTTGTTTTAAAAGTCAAAGTGCAAAAACTCAAATGTTAGTAGTTACACTAAATTTAAAAATGTAGCCTTTTCCTGTCATAACTAATTTGAAAAAGCTGCATTTGAAGGTGAATAACTAGGTCATCAGAAACCAACAATCATGAACTTCTTTTTCATGCAACCAAAAAAGACTAGTTTTTAAAAATTAGTAGATATTTGGCTAGAAAATAAGCCATTCTGACTTAAATAAAATTTTCAGATTAGGAACCACCCAAACTTAACTATAATAAGTTCTGAAGAAATTCTAAAATGTACTTTACATTCTACCCAAAAGTATTCAGAAAAAAGTTTTATGTTGTTGTTTCAGGATAATTTTTAATATCAATTATATATGTGCTATAATAGTTCAATATTCCAAAAGGTATCCAAGAAAATAGGACTCAACTCGTCAATTCCGTTCATTCCCTTAGACTCCTGTTTACACAATTAGTTTTTTCTTCTTTCCTTATAACTACTCTGTCCTTCACTGTTGTCTCGTAAAGCTCTGTCAGGTTTCTTACTTTTCTCTATTTCTAATATGCTGTCACAGCTTGTCTTCTGATTTGAATTTATTGTAACCCACAGAACTCAAGTTTCCCAGGGGAAATCAGATTACTAAACATCACGTGTAAAATTAAATTTTGCCTAAGGAGAGGGGGTAGCTCCTTTGCTAGGCAGTAAAGTGCATAAGTTTTATGATTGCTATTTTCATTATGTTTGTTGGTATTTTATTTCTGTAATCAAAATATTCTAGAAAATAAAAGGTGCTCAACTTTGCTAGAAAGTAGACTGACATTGTACTTGTTATTAGGGATATTATGAGACCACTTCAAACCTAAATACATTTAAAACAACCTCCCTGCACAATTAAGAGTATGAGAGAATATAGCATAGTATTATCATTTATTTTGGATAACTTTGGGTTGACAGATAAAAAGATAAGTGTATACTTGAACCTCCTCAGTATTCCTTAGGAAGGTAACAAGGACATACTTTTAAGAAAATGCGTTGCCCTACAATTTCTGGAGTGTGTCTAGATACCAGTAACCCCTCCCCAAGAAAAAGCTTTTCCAACAGAATGGGTCACAACCATCTAAAAAATAGAAAAAGAATTGAAGTAAAAAGAATCATGGCTTTAAAAATTGCTCATGATTACTGTCATTAAGAAAAAAATTTATTATATATATCTTGAGTATCATATTTAATATTGAAGAAAAAGTTTGGATACTAAATACCAATTAAAGCAAGATTTTACCAAGAGACAGCGCCTTTTTTTTAAAAAAAAGTTTTTTTATTGGGGAATTGGGGGATGGGAACAGCACTGGGGAATTGAGGGAAGGGGAACAGACAAGCTGCTGTCCTTTTTTTGTTCTTCAGTCTAGTTGTGGAGAACGTTGTTTCACTGGCCCAAGTTGGCACCATCATTGCACTCTTCCCAGGCGAGGCAGATCAGTCGCCAGCTTCTGGAAAGCCACTCACAGCGGCTGCTGGCTACACACTGTAGCCCATGGCAACCCACTGCAGCAGGGGCTGCAGCCTATGCCGTCGCCACTGACTCCTGGCAACCCAGCTTCAGGTTGAGCTGTTGTTCAGCATCTTAGCTGTAGAGGGCAGTGTCACTGGCCCTCATATGTGGGATTGGAACCGGGGCCCTCTGGCGTCCCAAGCCAGCTCTTAACCAACACGCCACTCGGCTGGCCCAAGATATCGCCTCTTTTATACTCTTTCGGAACCTTGGCCTCAAACAATGAGTGAAAAAATTATAAATTATCTAATTAAATTTTAACGGCAGTAAAGTTATAAACTTTACCTAATGTTTCCAGCGAAAAAAAAATTCTCAAATGACAAAATATAATTTCTCTCCATTTTATCTTGGGTCACAGACTATATGTATATATATGGACCGCAAGTCTCTATATTTGTATCTTTATATTGTTACCCCTTGTTTGTAAGGCTGCTGTAAGATAAAGAAAAGCACTGAAGAAAAAGTAAAACGTGTTAGCATGTTCCTTATCATAGTTAGTTAGGGCTAATCAAACCACCATTAACAAGTAGACCCCAAAGGTAATGATTCAAACACAACAGAAGTTTATTTCTTGCTCATGTAGCAGAACTGGATGGGTAAACCGTTAGCAGGGCCCTCTTTCAGGAAGGCACAGGAGGTTCAAGGAGGCCTAACTACCTTTGATGGGTGGCTTCCATTGAGAGGTTTTAATGGGCCAGGTCCAGAAGTTGCACACATTATTTCTGTACACTTCATTAGTTAGAACTTAGTCACACGACCCTACCTAAAAATGCAAGGGAGGCCAAGAAACAGTCCAGGTGCAGGTCCAGGAAGAAGAGGAAACAGTGAATTTGGAGTGAGCTAGCAGTCTCTGCCACACTCTTCCAGGTAATTTCTTTGGGACTCTTTACCAAGTACTTCTCAGAAATAAAATGATGATGAAAACTGCACAGCACTTTTTAACAAAATACTTTAACATATTTTAACAAAGTTTATCTCATTTCTTTCTCAACTTTGTATAGTAAATGGAAAAAGCAGTATACCCATAAGTTGATGAAAGTGAGGTTCAAAAGATGTTCCACCAAGGTTCCAAAGCTCACGTGAATTAATGGGAAAAAAACTGCAGTCCTACAATAACTACAAGTTCAATCTTTTCACTATTTCAAAGAGCCTATTATTCATACATTTACTGAGCACCTAGAATTATGCCTGGGATACAAAAATGAACAAGATCTGATTCCTATCCTCAAGGAACTTATTAGGTCTGTGAGAACAGAGAATACATTTTGGAAAACAAATTTTATCCCCAAAAGATCTGCATTTGGGGATTTCCCCAATGCAGTACAAAAGTCCCAATTTACAAAAGGGTTGTATTCCAATAGTTCATTTTGAAGATTAACTATGAACTTAGATTTCTTGGAACTTACTCTCCACATCCCTTCTCTATTTAGTTCCGAACACAGTCCCAACGACAAAATCTGCATGATGGTAACAAAGTCAAGCAAGGGACTCTGAAGGACCCCTTTGTTGTTGTTCATCTAAATTATATACTCTCTAATTCCTAATTATGCATGATCTTTTAAAAAAACTTCAGTGAATTTATTGGAGATAGAAAAGTTAATAGTCCTTCTGCTAGGGATCTCTATATAACGTTGCAGAGTGTACTGGATAGGAGAGAATGATTACTATCAAACTAAATCCCATGTAAAGCAGCAACATTGAATATTCAACCTCATAAATACAAAAATATGAATTAAAAATATCTAATATGTCAATTATATCTCAAAGAATATCATTTTCACTTAATTATGTCTACAAAGATTAAAAAGCAAACACCCTTGTGAGTTAAGGTTCAATGAGATGGCCACTTTTATATTATATATTGCTGGTAAAATATAAAATAGGTTATAATTTTTTCTGGAAGATAATCTGACAATCTTTTATCAACAGCCTTAAAAACCATCCATCCCATTTAGCCTAAGGAGTCTACTTCTGAGAAATTATTTGAAGGAAATAATCTGAAATGATAATAAATATTTATGTGTAAATATATTCAATAGAGTATTAAAAATAGAAATAGTAACTAGGAAATAACTACATGAATTATGATAACTTTGTATTATAACTATTATACAACCATTAAAATGGTTCCTTTTAATAATATGGAGAAATGCTTAGACTAAAATATTAAATTAAAAATCAGGATATTAGTGCAGTCTCAATACAAGGTATGTATATAATAGAAAAAGACAAGGAAAAACTAAATACAAATACAACAAAAATGTTATCAGTGGGTGAAAAAATGGATTATTTTATTTTTTTTGTTTTATATTTTTTTGTGCTATTTTTCTTTGATGAGCATGAATACTTTTCTAATAAGGAAAAAATGAAATGGAGTTGTATTTCACATACACTAACTTCTCCATCTGTGAAATACTTGTCATTTTCATTTTCTTATTTTTAAAAATCTCTATAAAATAGGTATATTATTTTATAAGATTTAAATATTAGTTAAGAGGACATATACATAGAAATGTTTTCAACATTAAGTCAAAAACAATACATACAAAAGTAACAACTATGTAAAATACAAATTTGCAAGGAAGACAAGGGATTAAATGTAAGCGCAAAAATGAAACAGCGTTAAGCTGACAGATAAAAGGAATTTTTTCATTTTTCAAAATGTAGTTTAATGGTGATGTTACATTTTAATAACTTTAGAAAAATTAAAAGAAATATTAATCTCATGTACTTAAAGAAACCATACATACAAAAGTGGCTTTGGGGGACTTTATAAGGAAATTACTCAATAAGAACTATTCTTCTAGCAACAAATCAGAAGGGATTAACATGTTTGCTGTCTCAGGTAATACCTGCTTCAGTGCTATTTACTAATACATAATTCTACACAGTCCCTCTGAAGTACCAAGTA